TTTGAAGGACGAGGAACTGTATCGGCATGCACGGCTGGTGACTTCAGCTGTAATTGCAAAAGTCCACACAATTGATTGGACCGTTGAGCTTCTAAAGACTGACATGTTACGTGCTGGAATGCGTGGAAATTGGTAAATCATCTTCCTAATACCTACGAAAGTACACTTGGCAATAATACAACACAAACAAATGGTTTAGATTAGATACACAAAATGGTTACTAGGAGAAAATATGAAGCTGACATGAGAGTCAAGGGAGAAATTGCATTTGTCCATAAAATCCCCCCAGAAATTGCAGGTGGGCCCCATGTGAGTTAAATATTGCCAAAAAAGGGCCCTCCAGTATGTGTGTTCTGTACACACAGCAAAACGCTCTGTTAAAACATGTTTCTCCAGTTGTGGAACGAACTTATGTATCTAGAATTTTAATGGATCTCATTTAATTTTGTGGCTTTGGTTTTATGAAGGTATGGGTTGCTGGGGAAGAAGTTTAAAGATACATTTGGACATGTTGGAGGGGCCATATTGGGCGGCCTTGTGGGATTAAAGAAACCTAACAATCATGGCGTCCCATATTCATTGACTGAGGAATTTGTGAGTGTTTATAGGATGCACGGCCTCTTGCCAGATACCCTTCTTCTTAGGAATGTCGATGCAGCACCAGGACCAAACAAATCTCCTCCTCAGGCTAAAGAGTACGTCATTCGTCATTCATTAACTGCATATTTCATACGCAGAACTTGAATTTCTAGGCCGAAATATGCAAAATCTTGATCCCAGCTGCGTCCATAAGTTGTCTAATACTTGAGAAAAATTGCAGAGTGGATATGCGTGAACTGATTGGTGACAAAGGAGAAGAGGCCTTGCAAAATATTGGCTTCACTAGGCAAATGGTGTCAATGGGACACCAAGCATGCGGTGCCCTTCAGCTTTGGAATTATCCTAACTGGTTTAGAGATCTGATTCCCCAAGATGTAGACGGTAGAGATCGGCCGGACCCTGTCGACTTACCAGCTCTCGAAAGTACGTATAACATAAATATCTTCAATGCATAAATATTTATTACTTAATTAATCTTGATTGTTGGAAGTTAGGTTAGCAATCGTTGAGGTCTAGGTAAAGCTAATGCGAATAGTTGGCTGCAGTTTACAGGGACAGAGAAAGGAGTGTTGCCAGATATAATGATTTCAGGAGGTCCCTCCTACTGATTCCCATTTCCAAATGGGAAGATCTTACAGATGATAACGAAGCTGTCCAGACCCTTCGAGAAGTCTATGGCGATGATGTGGAGGAGCTCGACCTTCTTGTTGGTCTCATGGCCGAAAAAAAGATCAAGGGATTTGCTATTAGCGAGACGGCCTTTATAATTTTCCTCCTCATGGCATCAAGGTAAAACTAAAATTTATTCGTATGTCAATGGTGTTTGTTATGGTTTATATCATACGTATATGTATATATGAAATGGTGAATTAATGCAGGAGGTTAGAGGCAGACAGATTTTTCACGAGTGATTTTAGTGAAGAGGCGTACACAAAGAAAGGACTGGAATGGGTAAACACAACTGAAAGCCTGAAGGACGTTTTAGATCGACATTACCCTGAGATGACGAAGAAATGGATGAACTCAAGCAGTGCATTTTCAGTATGGGATTCTGCACCAGAACCACACAATCCCATTCCCCTCTATCTTCGAGTTCCTCACTGAATAATCAAGTGGAACAACTTATGCTTTAAGCAGTGAAAATGTCTTAATTTGATTTATGTTTTTGCTTAAGTTATGGTTTTATAAACTGAATAATGTGATTACAGTTGATTTGTGAAAGAATGTAATATACAAATAAAACAGTTGATTTGAGTAATATATGAACTTTATTTGATAATTGGTTTCCCGGTGCTCTTCTTCTTCTTCTTCTTCTTCACGTACTCGTGAATGGTAAAAATGTTTCTTCATTTGATGTATAAATGGGCATAAATGTAGTTATAAGTGACTTTAGGAATGAGACTAACTCGAATGTTGGGGTATGTTGAGGAGGTTCTGTAATTTTTCACCTGAAAAGAAATTCCTCTTTAATAGTCAAGTAGTTGGAGCTTGATGGAAGGTGTGGAATGACAATGGATGAGTTCAGGGGCGGAACTAGGGATTTTGTTCGGTGTAGGCACAATTTTAGGTATCAGCTATAGTGATTTTTATGGCCAAAATTAGTTTATAAACGAAAAGAGCTTCACGTGATCAATGCAGAGTCCTAGAGAGAAATAATTTGTGTTTCCCGTACTACATACCTGCTTCAAGGCAATGACCCTCGTCTCATTTACCCAATTAGATGAGTAATTCCCGTCACATCAGGGACGGTACTTCGCGAATATCAAATTTAACAAGTTTTTTTTGAAATTCCTACCATCAAATCTCTCTATTGCCACATTTGGCTGCCCACCCCATAAAATAACATAAATTTGAGATTATAAATACAACTAATAGTTGATTAATCTAAGGGTGCTTTAATTGTCTATATTT